GGCAGCCCGCGGCAAGTGCAGCCGGGCTGATGGCCGAGTGTGCTGTGATGTGCCCAGTGGGTACTCTGGGCAATCCAAGCCAGGACTGCTTTGCAAGCGGGGCACCCCTGAGAACTGTGTGTCCGGGGTGGGGGTCGGGTCCCTTTAAGCACAGCCCTCGGCTAGCCTGAGACAGCAGCTCCATGCTCTAAGTCCTCATCTGATGCCCTGCCAGCACTGCTTCTGGCCATCCTTAACCCCGGTTCAGGGTCCACTCTGTGTGGACATGCTAGTTTGAATTAGCAAAACGCTAATTCGAGCTAGTTTTTTAGTCTGGATGCGTTAGTTCGAATTAGCTTAGTTCGAATTAACTAATTCAAACTAAGTTAGTTCGAATTAGTGCTGTAGTGTAGACATACCCTGGGTTACCTTTGATCAATACAGAGACCAATAATAATTTATCTCCATATATAAGTCTTGTGGTTGTATATGGCTTATATTTTGTGTTCAAAAGATGAGGAAGGGTGCTTTCTTATTTAGTGCCTGATCCTACTTCCAGTGTAGCAAGTTACAAAATTTCTATTGACTTCAGTGCCAAACTATCAGCTCACTAGTACTTAAAAGTTTCTGGTTTTAGCAAATGTGTTTGATTTTTGTGTAAGTATCCAAATGCAGGTACAGTTTCAGGGAAGGACTCTAAGGGTATGTCTACACTAGCCACCATAGTTGGAGCTAGGGTGGCTAATGTAGTCATTCAAACTTGCAAATGAAGTCCAGGATTAAAATATCCCGGGCTTTATTTGCATGTTCCTGGGCGCCGCCATTTTTAAATGCCCGGTAGTTTGGACTCCCTGCCCACGGCTACACGCGGCACGGGCTAGATAGTTCGAACTAAAGCCCCTAATTTGGACTACCGTTACTCCTCATTGTTTGTATGCTTTCAGTTTACTTGGTAAGACTTTACATTGTTATCTTCCAAACTTCCACCTCAAACAAGTTTACCCAGCACATTTAAAATCTCCAAGAGATTCCCTATTAGCAATCTGCCTGAGTTCGAACTACCTAGCCCGTGCTGCGTGTAGCCGCGGGCAGGGAGTCCGAACTACTGGGCATTTAAAAATGGTGGCGTCCGGGAACATGCAAATAAAGCCCAGGATATTTTAATCCCGGGCTTCATTTGCAAGTTCGAATGACTACATTAGCCACCCTAGCTCCAACTACAGTGGCTAGTGTAGACATACCCTAAGGTAATATTATTGAAGCCTTATACAAAAAGCAAATTACACATAAAAGGTAAATGGAGGGAGTGGGGGGCTATTTGTCATTTAGGTCTTTTTAAAAAGGGGCAACTCGTAAAACCAAAAGCGACCAGGAGTCCTGTGGCACCTTCGAGACTAACAGATGTATTGGAGCATACGCTTTCGTGGGCAAAGAACCATTTTGTCTGTTAGTCTATAAGGTGCCACAGGACTCCTTGTTGCTTTTGCAGATCCAGACTAACACGGCCACCCCTCTGATACTTCATAAAAACAAGATGAATCACTCTGAGGTGCAGAGCTTGCAGTCCACAAGGTCATTAAGTGTTACATGGCATGTAAGGAAACCAAGGCTACATCTACACTGCAAGCTTCTTGCACAAGAACGGTTTTGCAGAAGAGTTCTCGCATAAAAGGTCTTGCACAAGAGTGCATCCACACTGCCATGTGCTTTTGCGCAAGAGATGTGCTTTTGCGCAAGAGTGTCCATGGCAGTGTGGACGCTCTCTTGCGCAAGAAATCTCTGATGGCTATTTTAGCCATAGCGGTTTCTTGCACAAGAAACCCCTGTTGCCCGTCCATACTGCCCTCTTGCTCAAGAGCTCTTATTCCTCACGGGGAGAGGAATAACTCTTGCGCAAGAAGCCCTCTGTTCTGACACTTTACTTTAAATTTACATGTGCAAGAATGTGCATGCAGTGTAGATGCTCTGCAAGTTTTTGCACAAGAACGGTCGTTCTTCCACAAGAAGCCTGCAGTGTAGACGTAGCCCAAATGTTTTACAAATGTAACATAAAACAATGTCAAATGAAAAATGATAACAGTCAAATGAATGAATACTGTATTCATTAGACTGCATTGCTTGATGGAGCAAGAGGAAGGAGTGATCAGTGACAATTTGTCTTTTGAAAAGCTGCAAGATTTACTTAAATTATAGCAATTTGCTTGTTGAGCTTATAATGATTTACTTTAATGGAATATTAATTACTGCTAAATGGCAATGTAATTCCTATGAAACCACATATGACATCTCCATTAAGGAATCCATTGCAGTTGCTTACTTACATGAATTACTCCTAGAGCACTCAGACTACATTGGATCAAATCCTCATCTGATGTGTAAATCTCCACAGCTTCATTAACATCAAAGGGGAGCATCTACACAGCAGCTTTATTTCAGAATAACTGACATTATCTTGAAATAACGAAATGCACGTCCACACAACAAGCCATTATTTTGAAATAATGGCGAGCTGGAGGACTTCTTACTCTGATTCCTGTAACTCTTATTTCATGAGGAGTAAGGGAAATCAAAGGAAGAATGTTCTTCCTTAGACTTCCTGCTGTGTCGACAGCTCCAAAAGCAATTGACATAGCTGAAGTTGCATAGCTTAATTCAGATTTTGCCCTGCTGTGTACACATGCCCAAAGAAGCTAAACATATTTATACCAGCAGAGCATCTGGCTCATTGTCAGTACGTTTTCAAGAACGCTGGTAGATCACATTTAAAGTACTGCAGTACTAGTGCAGTGATTTCATTGCTTCGGCTGCTCCTGCCCCCTAGTCCCTTTTTCTCTCTTTTCATTTTAAAAAGGCCAGGCAATGGGACTTTCCTGTCTTCTTTAGTTCAAGAGGCTATCCCACAACCAGTAACTGCCAAGATCACTCTTCTCTCCTTGCTTGTCAGTTTGTTTTTTCCCATTTTTACGTGCTTTCTCATTGGTCCATGATTTTTCAAAAATAAAGGTCAGTGGGACAATAAGTTCATTAGCCAGTTCCCTTGATAGTGGAGGATGTGCCTGGTATGGTTAATGAGACATAACTTGCCTTCTGCTACTGAGGTTTTCCACTGTGCATGTTGTCCGTACACTTTCCCTTCAAAGTCCAAAGGCACGGCTTCTAGTGCAGGACTGACTGGATCATCAAAAGAAGGGTCTGTTTGGCAGACTGATGGAGGTGAATGATCAATTAAGTATACCTTATTATCTCACATTAAGGATTTGCTCTGCCATAGGGCATTTTCTGAGATACCAGTTCTGATTCATACCAGTATCATGTCTGTGATCTCCCCTCAAACAAGATGCTGATAGGTTGTAGGAGAACAAGGGAAGGGCAGTGCTACTCCCAATCAGGCTCATATATATCATCCCAATGCTGGCTAGATTTCCTTTTGAGGTCTGGCTGCATTCTTATATAAAAGGACAAAGGGGAGTTGCCTGAGATTATATTTAATTTCAAATGTGTATTTGTGTGACTATTGATATATTTAACCAGGAAATTTCACCAACTAGCCTGAGATAAGCTAGAAATAGCCTCAGTGTGTGTGTGTGTGTGTGTGTGTGCGCGCGCGCATTATTAGGTGTGTGTGTGTGTGTGTGTGTGTGCGTGCGCGCACGCGCATTATTAAAACAGTTATTCAGCATATTAATAGTCCAAACTTGTATATATCTTCAGCTATCAATAAAACACAAATTTAAACCAATATTGCTAATTCATTTTTCTTTCTCATCAGGCCTTGCAAGGCTCAGTACAATAAATTAAATTTGGAATATTCATGAAAACGTAGAAAATAAAACACTGATAAAACACAATTCTAAAAAAGAAGGGCTCAAAGAAAACCACTGTGTAAACTGCAACAGACTCCATGTCTGACAAGAAATGCATGTTGGTTGTGTTGTTGTTCTGGTAACATCTTTATTGTCTAAGGCAGTGTTCTCCAATTTTATTTGGCCACGGACCCCTTTTAAACTCAAAATAATTTTACAGAACTCCTAATAATAGTCTTATATATGGAGCTGAAAAGAAGACCACAAATAAGTAAGGATAATAATAAACAAATGCTAATTGAATATATTCTCACCAGTCATATTGGTTTGCAAAAATATGCATAAAAGCAAGTCATCTTCAATAGATTTATCAACATCATAATGGACAAATACTAGCAAAACTGCAAGGCCTGCAACATCAGAGGACTCATCTAATTGTAATAAATATGCATCACATAGATTCAGCTGAAAAATAAGCACTTTCTTGATGTCAGTAGCAAGATTGTGAATACAACACGTGACAGTATTGTTTGATAGTGACACAGCCTCAACTTTTTGACAACACTTCTCATCCAACATACACATTACAATATCTTTTGCGTGTGGTTTTACAAGTGATTTCCCAGTTGTGTGCACTTCTCTGGTGAGCAATATATGATAACTAACTCTGTGAGGGTATGTCTACACTACAGCACTAATTCGAACTAACTTAATTCGAATTAGTTAATTCGAACTCCGGGGCCAAGAGGGGGGCAGAAGAGTTTCCCTGGTGGTGCCCAGAGTGGCCACCAGGGCAAGCTGGGAAGGGCTAGCCTCCCACTAGTTTGAATTAAGTGGCTACACAGCCCTTAATTCGAACTAGTTAATTCGAACCAGGCATTAGTCCTCGTGGAATGAGGTTTACCTAGTTCAAATTAAGTTTGAACTAGCGGTTTGCATGTGTAGCGCCTATCAAAGTTAATTCGAACTAATGTCTGTTAGTTCAAATTAACTTTGTAGTGTAGACATACCCTAAGACTCTCCGAGAGTGAGTATGGGGATTTATGGTGGTATATAAAAGGCGATTGCACCACTAACTGACTTCACACATAGTGCTGAGTAGTGACATCATCGTCCCCACTCTCTGGTTAAGCTGGCATTACACAGGGACACTTATTGTGGCAAACACAAATGAACACAAATGAAAATTGTTTTCAATAAAATTCATAAATGCTTAAATATTCATTTTTTTAAATCATAAAATGTTATTGTAATGGAATTTTCTCACTGAACTCTTATTTTCACTTCATGGTACCCCAGGGTTCTACGGAACACCATTTGGGAAACACTGGTCTAATGTTTACCCAAGGACATAAGTTGCCATTTCCCCCCCATAATCAGAGAGAACCAAATGAACTATTTGTGTTTCTTTTCCCCTTGCATCTCCCAATGTTTCCACTGTGCCTTGTAAAGCTCGACTACCATGTTATGCAAAATTGACTGAAATGGTCTTTCTCTTTGATCTAGGAATACAGTTTAATTTTTTATGAATGCAGTGCCTGTTCTGGTCATAATACCCGAGAGCCGGTTCTCCACTTAGCTAGGTAAGGAGAACAGCCTGTGCTTTTGTAAAAAATAGACTCTTGTATGGGTAAAAATCAAACTAGCTGAAATGAAGTCTGCAAAGTACACAATGAGGAGAAAGTTCAATATCAAAAGATTTGTAAGGGAATTTAATTGATCCCTATCACTGATAAATGAATGGATTCTATTTGTTCGTTCTATTTGTCTATTTCTATATTCCTACTTGTCTCTGAGAGGAACCAACCATCCTCTGTCTGAATAATTTCTTTTAACTTTTTAGTTGTAATCAATAGTGCTGGTCCTGCAAGAAGCTCCAGGTGAACAGATTTGTGTGCCCATCTGAAGCACTGTTGATGCCAGTGAGCTTTGCATTGGCAAGAGTCTGTCTATCTAGAGTCAATTGCAAAATAAGGGCTTTTGAGTGGTGGAACGTGAGTGGAGGTGCAGCAGTACGCAGTGATGGCTCCCAGAGGCAGACTCTGGGGTGCTAGGGGAATGCACACAGTCATGGACATTGCTATCCTCTTTAACAGGGAGCTGCAGAGTGCGCTCCCCCTCCTTCTCCCCACCCCGTGTCAGTTCAGTTCCGCTACCTGACTGAAAGACTGAGGAGGAGAGTTTCTAAAGCACCTACAGGATTCAGGTGCACAAATCCCAGTGGAATTCAATGGGACGTGTGCTCCTAAATCCTAAAGGCATTTTTGAAAATCTCCTTCAGATAGTGCAGAAACCTAATGAATGGCAGATATTGGAGACTGCATTTCCTGGCAATGCAGCTTGCTGCTTTGAGTCTCAAAAATATTTATAAGTTGATCAGCTACACCTGCTGTTTTCCAAATAAAGGAGCAAAGTCGATTTTGCAATACAACAGCCTTGATGTTTGTTTTATAAAAAATGTACTCACTTATTAATTCGCAAAATTCTGTCAGTCTCCCAGCTATCAGTGCAGATTAACTATGCCTGACTGTGATGGTGTGGGGTTTGTTTCTTGGAGGTATTATTGCCTTTTTCTGAGAGTAATTTCTTTTTGTTTCCTTCCTAGGATTTTAAAAGAACAAGAAGACAAGGTGAAAGAAAAGACTGTTCAGCTGCAGCAAGACTCAAAGAAAAAGTCTTGTTGTGCCAGATTGTAGAAGATTAGGGCACATTTAGACAATGATCATATATCATGTACCACACTACAGTGCATCATCAGATCTGCCTTATGTTCAAAATATTTCTTATGCTGCGCAGTGAATGTAGCAAGAGAAAACATCAAAGAACTTCATGCACACTCACTTTTCTCTCTTTGCTAAGATGAAGGCCTTAGTTAGGATTACTTAGATTGTAAAGGCTTCAAGACACCTTTTGTTATGTGTTTCTATGTCAGCACCATGGGGTCCTGATCCATGACTATGTGATTAAACGCTACCACAATACCAAGAAGAAATTTACAGTACTTAGAACAGGAAGTTAATTTTGATAGGGCCTGAGCATAAGCACCCTTGCTTTGAGTAGTCTGGTTGACTTCATTGGGGTTGTTCATATAAATTTAGAGTTTACTGGATTAGATCCCTATTCTTTTAGCCTCAAACCTTGGTTCCATGTTGACTTTCATTAGTTGTGTCTGTTTTTTGAGGAGTTTTAAATTATGATTATTTAAATTTTAAACATAAGCAATTCAATGTAAGATACTCTGTTAAGGTTTTGAATGTGCATTTACTAGAATGTAGGGGAAAAAAGATTCTCAGAGTAAGCCTTAACTGACGCACACTACAAATCGACATTATGATTCTTACTAATTACACTGTTTGCACATGGAGCCTCATTGCGGAGGGCATAACTCATGCTGCAGTGCCTTTACATGACTCGTTGTGGGGCTATTCAAACCATTACGGGTTTTACACAGCCAGCCATGTTCTTAGATGGAAGATGACTGTTGTATCAGACTTATCTCTGACACAACTCCTACTTTTTTCACAAGGCTCCACCACAGAAGATTTGGCATAAGATGGCCAAAATGTTTGAAGCTGTCTGCCTGATGTTAAACCCATATTTGGGGAGAGTTTCAAAAAGTATCTCATGGCGTTAGGAGCACAGATCTCACTGAAATTCAAGGAGACTTATATTCCTAAATTCTTGAGGTGCTTTTTAAAAAAACTCCTCATTTCCCCCTAAACAAATGCCTTGATTTAAAAAAGCGCTGAGCAGCCAGCCAAGTCCTTTTGAGTTCAATCAGAGCTGCTGGGGTTACAACACTTAAAAAAATCACATCCTTTATGTAGGTGCCTAACTTTAGGGACCAGTCTTAAAATCTTGTCCTAGAACAACACGCTGAATTCATTTTTTCCTTTGGCCACCCTGGCAGAATATGAATTAAGTGAGCAATTTTGGAGCAAGAATCTGAATAATTCCTGATGGTATTCTTCTGCGCTGGACACAGTGGTGTGGCTGTGCCTTCAATAATTGTTCTAAGTGCAGGTGAGCTGGCGCAGAAGAAACAGAACCTGTCTCAGTCTATTTTGTCAACAGAACAAAAATGAGGATTGTTTGCTATAAAAAAGGAAGATGATTTATACATTGTATTTTCAATCCATTTTCTAACTTTCTGAAGTTTTTTAAAACTTGAATGACACAAATTTAAAACAAATGTAATTAAAAACACAAGACTGGGCTTTTATAAAAGACCAGAAAAGCTAAACACTAGTTGTATATGTAACTATTTTATTTTATTTTTTGAATAAAACCTTTAAAGTAAGTCTGTGTGCTGTTGGGACATCTGTTTCTTGGTGATATTCATTTAGATGCCAATCGCTGTAGAACAGGAGTTTGCACATTTTTCCTTAGAGCAACTCCCCTTCTCCATATTGTGAACCCACTTTGATATCTTCTCAAATAGCTGAGCTTTAGCTAGGACCTCTCCTTCCATCAAGCTAGGAGCTAATTCCTATTTAGCACTCAGGATGGGAGAGATGGTCCAGAACCGTCTAACGCTTGCAAACCATTCCCATTCCAGTGGGTTATGACAACCACGCTGAGGACCCCCACAGCACTATTTTACAATAGAAATACAGTGAAGAAGAGCAGCACAATGTTCCAAACGAGGGCAGGCTATTCCCTTGGCTTCTTTATGTATAGAACCATGTTCTGGAGTGACATCTTTATGTATAGAATCATGTTCTGGAGGTCAGGTATTGTTGGGAGGGACACACTACGGTTCCACTGGGTTCTGAAGGTTATTCCTACTGTTAACGACAGCCATCAGTGTCCAGCCCTAGAAAAAAGGAAAGCTGCTTTTTATCCCAGTTTCAAGCTGGGGTAAGTGTCTCCAGTTCAACAAGAGGTTTTGCCTTTCAACTACAGTGGAGACAAATCTCCAGTGCAGCAACACCTCTGGCACAAGAACATTCTGCTCTCCCCTGGTTCAGGATTCCATATTTTGGCACTCAAATGTCAGAAATTAGCAGTCTCTGGGCAACCAAACCAATTCAGCTAAGATGTAGAACACGGGTGGGCAAATATCAGCCAAAGGCTAGATCAGGTATTCCAAGATTAGTGCCTGGTGGGCCCCTACCACTATATTTATCTGCACAGGCCCAGGTATCAGTGATAGCAGCTCCCATTGGCTGCAGATCACTATTCCCAGCCAATAGGAGCTGGGAAAAAATGATATCTGGGTCTATGTCACTTCCCACAGCTACCATTGGCTGGGAACAGTGATCTGTGGCCAATGGGAGCTGCAATCATTGGTACCTTGTACCTATGGAGTACCAGGATTGATGGGGTGTCATCAGTGGTCAATTTAGCAGGTCCTTACTAGACATGCTAAATCAAATCCTGAGAGATATTTTTTCTGGCGCATCGATCTTGGGGTAAGTAAAGACAAGCCCTTTAGCCAGTTTCTGTTAGCCTCAGCAGGGTGGTTTCCCTTTGTGTATCTCCAGAATCAGGCCCCTAACTTCTGATTTCCTGAAGAGCAGAGTTGTCCTGAAGGACCACAGATGGGGGCGGGGGTTGATCTCTGAGGCATCCTGCTGCTATTCCTCTCTAATGCTTTAAAGGCCAGTACAGTGTTCTGATACTGGAGCAGGAAACAGATACAAATTTAGTTGGTGAGCAGAACATAAAAGTTATGAGTCCACCTTGCTGGGGGTAATAAATATAGCATGTGCCATGAATAAATTGCTGATTCAGAGTTCTTGATTTCAGACCTCTGCAACACTGGAGAACACTTTTGTCACTGGATTGTCACTATTTCTTTTCCTTCTTCACTCAGACTACTATTAGTCATTGTGATAGATTCATCCCTGGTGTAACTGCTGATTTTAATGGCATTTCTCCAATAATGCATATACTTGTGTTCCTTGGTTCTGAATGATTCTGGATCATAAAGAGACACCTCCCCGAAGAAGTTCTTGTTACATGCAGTGAGTCTGATTTTGAGCTCAATTCCACTGGCATAAATCCCGATTTACACAAATGCACAGTAAGCAAGACCCAGCTCAACTTGTATCACTCACCAGTGATGCTGTGGTAAACTGACAGGAGATGGCATGATTGACAGACTAAATGATACTGAGAGTGCGTGATTTCAATCTACATTAAAGCACTTGATATTGATTGATCCTCTTCATTTACAATATACATTATTGAGAACATTTTAACTGCAGTGACAATAATTATGTGAGTGGTGTTTTTAATGTGCCCAGTCCTATGTCAGGAAAATCTTACTCCATCGGAGATCATTAATGAAGAGTTCCACTTCACTGTCAGCACAAGTGGGAACTTGCTTTATAAAGCAGTTATGCACAAATACAACTGATTAGCAGCACCTTCCTAAACTCATCTCACACAAAATAGAGAGATGGGCTTTTGATCTTTAAAATGTCTAAACTTAGTATTTGCAGTTCTGAAAACTTTAAAAGCTAGTAATTCAGCCCAGCTAAAGAAAACATCATACGCTCTGTTAATTTGAAAGAGGTAAAAACTAATTCCCCACCTGATCCTGTTAAGGATGAATGGATTTCAATCATTTTTTTTGTTCCAAGAGAGAATTTCTCCAGGTTAAATGTAAGGGGCATTGTGAACAGCAGTAGCCCCATTCAGACTACATCTACACTACGAGTTTTCTCAGTAAAAAATATGCTAATGAGGTTTAACAGGTAGTTCGAACTAGGGCTTTATTTCAAATGCCCGTTTCACTGCCGCGTATAGACGCGGGCAGTTAGTTTGGGCTTGTAAATTTAAAAAATGGCACCCGGCCAGGAAGATGCAAATCAAGCGTGGGATATTTAAATCCTGGGCTTGATTTGCTATTCCAAATACCTACATTTGCAGCCCTAGTTCTAATTAGGCTACAAGTGTAGATATACCCAAAGAGGTCTGAAAAAACTTCTTCTGAAAGAGAGCGCCCACACTGCAAAAGTGCATCAAAAAAGCAATCTGCTTTTTTGAAAGAGACTGTCCAGACTGAATAGACTCTGTCTCGCATGTAAGCTTGATTGCTATGGATGGAATGGCCATCAGAACACCTGTGCTTTTTCCCCTTTCCTCTTCTTCCGAAAGAACTCCCTCTTCCCCATCCACACACGCCTTTTTCCAAAAGAGCTCTTTCACAAAAAGGCTTCTTCCTCATAGAATGAGGATTACCAATGCCAGAAGAAAACGTTCTGTTCTTTCAATTTTCTTGTGGAAGAACGCAATTGCAGTGTGGACGTTCCTCAAGTTTTGTTGGAAAAACGGACATGTTTCTGACAAAACTCTGTAGTGTAGACATACCTTCAGGCTGCGTCTACACTGCAGGCTTCTTGTGCAAGAACTGTTTTGCGCAAGTGTTCCTTCTGCAAAAGGTCTTCCACAAAAGCACGTCCACACTGCCATGTGCTTTTGCGCAAGAGATGTGCTTTTGCACAAGCATGTCCATGGCAGTGTGGACACTCTCTTGTGCAAGAAAGCTCTGATGTCCATTTTAGCCATAGGGCTTTCTTGCTCAAGAAATTCATGTTGCCTGTCTACCCTGCCTTCATGTGGAAGAGCTCTTGCGCAAGAGGGCTTATTCCTCTTGGGGAAAGAAATAATTCTTCTGGAAGAAGCCCTGTTTTCCAACGCTGTACTGTAAATTTTACTTGTGCAAGAACGCACATGCAGTGTAGACGCTCTGCTAGTTTTTCTGCAAGCACAGCTGTTCTTGTGCAAAAAGCCTGCAGTGTAGATGTAGCCTCAGTGGTTGGGATCAGGGAAACTTGGACCATCTCACTCTTCAAGATCCTGACCCAGGGGCAGGGACTCCAAAATTGGTGGGGAGAGAGGGAAGCCAGGGAACATACCCCCAAATGGGTATGAAAAGACCCTACAAAGAAATAATACAGATACTGTGACAGGGTGTGACGGCGCGTTGGGGGTCCCCCGTCTCCTGCACCCCGAAATGGCACAAACAGACTGCACCAGCCAGTGGAATTGAGGGTGGTTTATTGCTCCTCCAGCACAGCGCAGCACAGATGTAATCTGGTTACAGGAACTGGGGCTAAGAGGCCTTAGTGCCCCCCCTTGAGATAGGGGAGTCCCAGACCCCTCCCCAGCTCCTTATTCCCTGCCTTCCCGATAGGAACTAACTAACCCTCTTCCAGCCCTGCCCCCCAGCCAGGGCAGCATCCACCTTCCTTTGTTCCTCTCCATGGGGGGTGTCTGGCCACTGGTTCAACAAGTTTGGTATTACCTTGGCCTAGTGAGGTTTTCCCTGCTGGGTCTTGCTCCAGACAGCAGGGGTCACCACAGCCCAGCAAGTACCCCCACTACGTCACAGTTCTCCCCCCTCCGAGAGCGAACTGAGCAGGGTCACTCCGCTCGTGACCTAGGGAAGTTCGGGTCCTCTGCGTGGGAACCCGCCCTGGGGACATGGGTGCTCCCCTTGACTCGGGCCGACCGTGGCGAGGCCCCACATGAGCTGGCTTTCCTCCGTCCACTCGCCACCCCACTCCAGGGCGACTGGCCCAGGCCTGTCCTCGGTTCCGCTGGCCTTGATCTCTGGCCGGGGTCTCTCGGGCCGGGGCTGTGGCCCCAGCGAGCCTTCTCTGGACAGCCAGGGCGGCTTCCATTCCCGATGCTCCATCCAGGGAGGACTTCCCCTCCCATAACCCTCTCAGCAAGCCCAGAGGGTCCTCTATCTGGGGTAGAGACCCCCAAGCCGCTTTCCTACTGTCTTGTGCCTTC